ACCCTCAGGATCGCCTGTCATTTTTGCAGGAGGACAGGTGAGTGTGTATGTGTGTGTTAATGCCACCTGCAGCTCTAGTACATGTGCGTGTGCTTGAATGGTCTCGTCTGAAACGTGTGTTTTGCAGGCATATGCGGTGCAGGGACAACATGCCATTCCTCAGCCTGATGTAAGAGACGGTTCTGGTTCTCTGCAACACAGAAGGGTTTGAACCCATTAGAACACTTAACAGATGTAGTGATCTGACTGTTAAATATCAAATATCTTTGCATGCTGTTTTCTGTGTCCGCAGCTCACTAAACTCCACCAGTTGGCAATGCAGCAGAGCCCGTTTCCTTTGGCCCCCAGCAGCCAGGGCTTCTCTGGTAAATCCCGTCTCTCAGACACTTGCTCTGCGTCTGCTCTTGTCATTGGCTGATGGTGATTGTGTTTCTCTGTTCTGCAGCTGGTATGGACGCTACTGCACAGACAGGCTCTCATGAACTGACCATTCCAAACGATGTGAGTTTGCTGACCTTTCGTTTCCTACACGCTTCTGAGAGGATCTGATGATACGACGATATTAGGGCTGCCACAATGACTCGATAATCACTATTGACAATTATCAACCACAGACTTGATTAGCGTTTAATCGTACTGTGCCCAGAAATCAAATACCGTTTTAATAAGTCAAAATATTAAATGGCAATACTAACCGTAGTGAATTTTGTCTTAGTTTATCGACAGACTGTAACCGTTTCATCCCTGTTTGTAACCCTCAAACTAGAGTGAGTTTGGTGACTCCTTGTAAATCTTCAGGGACCCCCACTGTAAAGAGATATGAAAGTAATAATTATGGTGTTCAGATGTGCCTTCGTTACTTCTTACAGCTTTATACCTTTTTACTTGCGCTACTTGCAGCTAGTATTAGTTTTTGCTGTGATTATTGAGAATTGTGTAATTTCACTGCTATCCAAAATTGTAGTATCGCAGCAAAAATAATTACACTACCATTCGCAAGTTTGGACTCGGTAACTTATTTATTTACTTCATTTTTAGTAAGTCTTGTATTATTGCAACTCAGTTTTTTGCCATGAAGATGGCCCTAGATGCTGACATGGCAATACAAATAAATGACTGCTACTGCTTTATTGTTAGTGCTTTTATCCAGCAAGACATTAATTTGATCAAAAGTGACAGTAAAGACATTTATTATGTTACAAATGATTTCGATTTCAAATAAATGCCATTCTTTCGTATGGTGACTGGGAAGGGACATGTTTATTCAGGATCTAGTCGAT